GCAGGAAACTACGGCCGCAGCTCGGCAGCACGGGGGCGTCGCAGCGTGCCGCCGCCGCCGCCGCGCTGCCCCCCGGGCACGGCAGCAAGCTTGGGCCCAAACGCCGTGCCGCCGAGTCCCGTGGCTGCGACCGTAGACCGTGGGCCGGAAACTGCGGCCGCAGCTCGGCGGCACGTGGTTCTGGTCAAATCGCCAAGCGTGCAGCAGCGCCGAACCACGCTTCCCGGCCTCGGCGCATGCCTTCAGGGGCCCCCTATCGCTGGGCACACCCCTCCAACACCGAACATGCGCCCGGGGGGGAGGGCGGCCCGGGCTGTGTGCTGAATGAATGAATGAATGAATGAATGCAGCTAGTAGTACTAGTAGTGAATGGGTCTTTAGGTCGGCCGTGGGTGGGACCCCCAAGTGTAGGGCCTTGGCCTGAAGGGTAGCGGCGTAGTCTTCAGGTACGTTGGTCGTTGCCATCGTCATTGCATGTGCCTGTTCTAGCCGCCCAGCCCAGTCTGTGGCAGTGCGCGCGAAACATGATATGCCCCGGTGCGCAGCTGCCTCAAAGGCGTCCCTGTAGCCCGTCAACTCAGCTATAAAGGTAAAGGTAAAGGTGGGGAAGAGCCTCCACAAGCTTCACTTCCCGGTTTTAACGTCTAGCTTTAGACCATTATTTGATCTGCCCGACGCGCCAAGTGCAGTACCCCCCACTAGTAGTGAATGGGTCCCGGGGAGGCCTGTGCCGAAGCCTTGGCGATTCTATTAGGCGTTCCCGAAGGAATTGGCTTGGATTGGCGCTGAGCCGGTCAGCTATGCCGCGTTTGTCCTCACAAAGTTTCGACATGGGAGGAATCGAACCTGTGCCCTCTCGGAGGGTTTAGACACTAGCTCCAGCGCCTTCAAAGAAGGCCTTTCTTAGCCGCGGTCGAAAATTGTGGAACCATTTCTCGAGCAGAGCGTGTCATCCTTGCGCAGGGGCCATGCTAATCTTCTCTGTATCGTTCCAATTTTATCAAGTGCCCGAAGGCTATGCTCATTGGCTGCTGGAACACCGTTCTGCTGCGGAACGGGACATGTGTCTGCGGGGGTGGGCGTACGTATCCCAGGGCAGAGCACGGTAGGCGCACTTCGTACGGCTCGTGGTCGCTGTTTCCCCCTGCTGCAGGGATTTGCCACGGTGCTGGGGCCCATTTTGTTACCTCATCGGGCAGAGTGGGCAAGCAAATGAGTACGTCATCGATTGTGCTACGCACTGCCTGTCCACCCACGACATGCTGGCAGTAGGTGGGCTCTCTGGGTTCGGTAGGGTCGGTGGGGATGCCGCCTGCTGGTGCCAATTGGCAGGTGGCCGCCAATTCTCTGTGTGCCGTGTCCACATGGTGTTGGCTACCAGTTGACCTGTCAGCATTCCGCAGGGTGGCGTTCCAATCGCCGGCCAGCACTAGCGTGCGGCCTTGTTGTGCACACGCCCTGCTGATTTCCAAGATGTAGGTCCCAGCTGCCCGGCGCGTGTGTTGCTCGTCGGCATCGCTGGGGAGGTAGACCCCAATAATGTCAAGCGGCCTGCCTGCCGGCGGCGTCAGCCTCACATGGCTGAGGTACCCTTGCAGTTGCGCCGGGACTGTCTGCGGTGCCAAGCTGTTGTGTGTCGTGTGCCTCTTGGCCATTGCCACCAGGACGCCTGCCTTGCCGCGGCCGGGCTGGCCCGCGTGGCTGAGCAGGCTACCACCAGGCAATACGCTCATGGTAATTTTGTATCCACGGTGCAACAGCTTGCGGTACACGTTTTTACGCTGTTGTCTGCTGTTGATTTTGAGCTCGGTCAGCACGAGCGCATCTGGATCGCGTTGCACCAGTGCCTCTATCGCCCCTTCTGCGGTGGTGCCGCCCATGCAGTTGAAGGTGGCCACCTTAAATTCTCCCACCGGCCCTGGTGCCGGTGCGCAGGCCTCGGGGTCCAGCCCGGGTGGTGCTGCCTGTGTTGCGCTCTCGCTGGCACTGAGTGGGGCAGCTACACCAGGGTCGGCTAGTTCTGCCATGAGTGTCTCGCGATCGCCTGTCGTGGCAGCCTGTCGTGTTTTGCCTCGGTTGGGCAGGGATGCACGGGACAGCCGCGCCTGGCGTTGGTGGTGGGCAAGCAGTGGCAGGCCCGCTTGTGCCCGTTGGGCTGCCTTGCCCATCGCTTCCTGGATGCTGGTCTGCCGTGTTCCTCGGTCGC